ATCTCAGCTCACCGCAACCTCTGCTTCCCTGGTTCAAGCCATTCTCGTGCCTCAGCCTCCTGAGTAGCTGGAATACAGGCATGCACCATCATGCCCAGCTAATTTTTGTATTTTTGTGTGTGTGTGTTTTCTTTTAGTAGAGTTGGGGGGTTTCAGCATATTAGCCAGGCTGGTCTCAAACTCCTGTCCTCAAGAGATCCACCCTCCTTGGCCTCCCAAAGAAGTTATATCTTCTTCCACTCAATCCCCATGCTTTTAACCTCCCATGAGCTCCATCTTCAACTGAGATGGCATTTGTTAACTTCTGCCCATGAGATCTCACTCCTTGTGCCATTTGTCCTATTGTCAGAGCAGCCTCTAAAGGCTGGGTTGGGTCTGATATGGAAGCTTTTCTCTTGGTGATGAAGACTCAGGTAGGGCAACAGAATATGCAGCAGTGAGATCTAAGGACAGATCATCTGATGAAATAAGCACTTAAGATAAAATCAGAATGACCAGATAGCCACGCTGAGAAACGGGGCCCCAACAGGCATCAGTATCACCCAGAAAGGGGGAACAAGACATCTATGGAAGTACTGCTTGATTCTTTTTCTTAACACTCGAACCATGACAGACTATGCCAGGCACCATACAGAAACTCTGTACACCTAAGCCGTGGCTAAGTGGATTAGACTCCAAGCTCCCTTATTCATCTTTGAGGGCTTGAGGGAGCTGAAAGTGTGGCACAAGGTACAAGCTCCAGGTTTGCCAACCCAATGAATGGTCAGCAGGCCAACAAATGGCTGGAAAAAAAAGAATGACCCAAACTCTTTTTGAGTCAGCCTCAGGGTTGAGTGAAGATGTATTATGAGTGTGAAAAGAAATGAGAATAGACTATGGTTTCCAGTAACAATAGTTATATGGAGAGCTAGAGCCAAGGAGAGGTCTCAGGGAGCAAAGAAAAATAACCAAATCAGAAACACACAGGGACAACAGAATTCACTACACCAAAGGTTGAATTTCTTTGGGGAAAATATTGAAATAGGTTTGACAAGGTCTTAGTGAATGAGGCTGATTCTTAGAAAAGAAATATGAATATCCTCAGAAAAGTTTAAAGCAATAAAATAAATGGGAAAAATTTTAATTCTCACTAAGTCAGGTCTCTGGTCATATCTAAACTCAAGTAAAGAGTAAAACAAAATATTTATATGAAAAGTATTTGGTCAATGAGGCTTTGTACTCAATCAGTTTGGCCAATTAATTTGTGTAGTGGTTTGAAACAATATCAGAGAACTCTGTCTCCCTGCTTTACGTGTGTTTTATATAGCATAAGATGCCTAGAGAGCTTTTAGTGAGTGGATATAATAGGAAGTAAAAATGGAACTAAATGATTTTTTAAAAACTAGTAAGATTTTTTTTGCAGTACTATGCACAAACCAAACTATATGCTATCTGAATGAAACAAAACCTTCAGTTAGAGAAAACTTTGAAAAAAAACTTACTCATTAAAAGCCTAAGAAACATACTATATATCCCGAACATTATGCTAGGCACTTTCAAAACTATTATTTCATTAATAAATGCATTTACGGGCTAGGCACAGTGGCTCATGCCTATAATCCCAGCACTATGGGAGAATGAAGTGGGAGGATCACTTGGACCTAGGAGTTCAAGACCAGTCTGGGCAACATGGCAAAACCCTCTCTATAACACACACACACACACACACCACACACACACACAAACTGAGCATGGTGGCATGTGCCTGGAGTCCCAGCTACTCATCAGGAGGCTGAGGCAGAAGGACCTCTTAAGCCTCAGGAAACTGAGGCTGTTGTGAGCTGTGATTATGCCACTGCCCTCTAGCATAGACAACAGAGCAAAACCCCTCTCAAAAAAATAAAATTCATTTATGACTTGTTTTCCAATGCAACACTAAAAACTAACAAAAATTACTAAATCGAAGCATTTTAGTTTTCAAATTATGCTGCGCTAAAGAGGAACTTCCCTTACAAAAAAAATTACTAATTCTGTTTTTCAGAAGTTATATTTGTCCTAGGAAAGGACAGCATACTGTAGGGTTTACTTAGTACTGGAGATCACCAAGGTTATTCTGAACCCAAGGGTGGGTCTTCAAATTCACAGGGATCTCTGGAGAGTAGCAACGATGACCAAAATGCTTGTAAGGGTTACTTTCATTTAAAAAATATTTGGACCACAATTTTACATTAACTTATAGTAATAATAATAAAAAAAAAAGAAACGTTAACTACCTGTGCCTTTTTAGCCTTCCCCAAATATATATTAAAAAAAAAATGTAAGGAAAAATGTCTCTGGAGATGGGTCTCCACAGGAAAAGCAAAAATATTTTTCTGGCAGAGGGAAGGGAAAATGAGTTCTTTAATCTGGTTTCAACATTCCTCAACAGGCAACAATGGGTGAGACAAAGCATGGCTCTCAGCAGCCTTATCACAGAAATGTAGAGCTGAGCCCACCTAAGAACCAGCTGCACAGAAGCAGCAGCATCTCCTGTCGGCCCACGAGCCAGCTAAAATCTGGTTAATGGATGGAGTTGCTCCCAACCTTCCCAGTGTGTCATATTCTCTATGGTTACAACAAACTCAAGGGATTTCCAAAATCAGCACTCGCTCACTGAGCCAGGAAGAAGAAAACAATCCTATTTCAGTAATTTCAGATCTCAAACTAGTTTTCTAAGGGCAATTCATTTGGAGGATATAAAATCAACTGGCTTCTTGAGAGAAAAGAGCCAAAGTTCTAGCAAATTAAGTCCATCTTACTCCTAAAAACTTAACTCTGCTCCGTCTCCTTCTTGTGTGTTAAAAGTACTTAAAGCAAAGCTGCATAAACCAGGCTATCCTCGAAAGGAACATGCTCAATAATGGTAAGGTGGAAATCAGACAGAGTCAACAGAACCACATGCTAACTGTGCAGGATTGAGTGAAATGGTCACACTATTCAAAACACTTTGCCTCTGCACTCCCATCTTTTTGCTGGCTAAACTGAATTTAGTCAATTAAACTATAAGCAAATACCCTATTATAGACAAAATCAGCTCTAGGGGTCACACTGTCATGGTTTGCAGAAACACTATTTAAACTGGCAGGGTCATAAAAGTTAAGGATTAAAATGGATCAGGTTCACATTTCCATGTGAGACAGTTTTGTATTTTACAAGGCCAAGGACTGAGAGGTGAGAATAATGCCTCTCCTATTCCTCCCGTGACAGTGAATCCTGTTGTTTGCTTTACTCAAAACACAGTTGATGTGTTTAAGAGTCTGCCTGTTTCTATTGTACAAAGGGGAGAAAATGTAATACGTTGGAGACATATGCCAAGAGAACAGTTAGGGAGGAAAGAACACGAGATGCTTCTAATACTTATCTGGGGGATATTGACAGAGTCTTCCCAGAAAAGGAAACATTGCTGCTACCAAAAGCCAGACATGCTCATTACTGTGGTGCAAGACTTATGGAGAGGACTTTGGATAATGAAATTTGAGGAGTGAAAGGCCCTTTGTTTTCCACTAACTCAGGAATGTCCGTATGGGACAGAGATTGGACAGGCAAGCCCAACTCCATGAAGGACTCTGCCTGCTCACAACTGTCTCAGGATCAATCTGACAGCTAGGCCCCTGTTCAAGAAATCTTAATCATCTTCTTAGTTAAACACAAATGAGTCAGAGGCTAAATAATAGGATCCTGTCCCTAACAGTGAGATAAACATTGCAACAAGGATGTATTAGCCGTAAGGTTTATCAGAAGTGCACCAGGGGCTGGGAGCAGTAGCTCAAGCCTGTAATCCCAGCACTTTGGGAGGGTGAAGTGGACGATCACCTGAGGCCAGGAGTTCACGACCAGCCTGGCCAACATGGTGAAACCCCATCTCTACTAAAAATACAAAAATTAGCCATGTGTAGTGGTGCGTGCCTGTAATCCCAGCTATTAGGGAGGCTGACGCAGGAGAATCACTTGAACCTGGAGGTAGAGGTTGCAGTGAGCCAAGATCACACCACTGCACTCCAGCCTGGACATCAGAGCAAGACTTCCTCTCAAAACAAACAAACAAACAAATGAAACTACACCAGGGACAGGGCTAAACAAGCACATTACCTAAAACAACAAATGTCCACTGAGCACTTTGTTTATTAACTCACTTCATCCTCCTGACAACCCTATGAGGTAGGTACCATTTTCCTCCTCGTTATACACACGGAGGAACTGAAGCACAAAGTCTTAAGTTATGTAGCAGATAAATGACAGAGTGAGGACACATTCCCTGCCTTTCTGGTTTAGGAAATTACTGAGCACTATACTGCCTATCAAACAGAAATGACGAACAATCTAACATGTACTGAGCACTTGGGTAGATCAGGCCCTCTTCTAACCATGCTACATGATTACCTCCCTTAATACCCATAATAAACCTCTGTAGACACTGAGGCAGAGAGAAGTTCAGTAAGTAAGCCAAGGTTACCACCCAGGAAGTGGTCACTGCAGGATGTGAACTGACGTCATCCAGCTCCAGAGCCCTTACTCTTAGCTGCAGCAACACACTGCTGTCTGAATCTGGCTTAATCTCCACAATGACTGTGAGGGACCTTTTAACACCTTTTTGCAGGCGAGGGAAACCAAAGCTCAGCAGCTAGTACGGGGAAGACGTTGAGTTTGGGCACAAACTCAACTCCTCCAAGTTGTAAGGTCTCCAGAGCTTAAGAGTCTATGTTTTTGACCATGACATATAATAACTTACCTGAAGGCCACAGTGCCCCAGGAACTGATGGGAACCCTGTCCCAAAGGCAGCAAAGTTTCCTAGTGTCAAGCATGAGGAACTGATAACATCAAGGCCTCTCCCCACTTGCAGTTACGGTTCTTACAAGAGAAACTTTCCTCAAAGTCTCTACCTGTTACTTCCCTCAGAATGATAATAAGGCAGTCCCAAAATATTATGCCCCGTTTCTCTGCCCTCAACATCTCCAACAACAATTAAACCATTTGCACTTACACTTTAAATGCTGGGAGGTAGGAATAGATAGAAATGCTGCTTAGGTTATAAATAAACGGCAGGTGTTTTCTGATATCTGTTGTTGCCCAGCTGCTAAAAAATGTGTTCAGTATGCCTTGGTCCCCACCTAAAAGAAAAAAACATACAAATTAGTTAACAGATCTCTAGGGCAGCTTAATAATTTTAAAGGAGCACATGCTGGACCTTTAAAAATAGGCACTAATTCCATTTTTAATTTTTTGAGATAGAGTCCCACTCTGTCACCCAGGCTGGAGTGCAATGGCACAATCTCAGTTCACTGCAACCTCTGGCTCCCAGGTTCAAGTGATTATCCTGTCTCAGCATCCCAAGTAGCTGGAACTACAGGCATATGCCACCATGCCAGGCTAATTTTTATATTTTTAATAAAGATGGGATTTTACTGTGAGGCCAGGCTGGTCTTGAACTCCTGATGTCAACTGATCCGCCCGCCTCGGCCTCCCAAAGTGCTGAGATTACAGGCGTGAGCCACCACACCCGGCTCCCATTCTTTTTTTTTTTTTTTTTTTTTTTTTTTTTTTTTTTTTTTGTATTTTTAGAAGAGACTGGGTTTTACTGTGTTGGCCAGGGTGGTCTCGAACTCCTAACTTCATGATCCGCATGCCTCAGCCTCCCAAAGTGCTGGGATTACAGGTGTGAGCCACAACGCCCAGTCCACTCCCATTCTTAAATAAGTTCCTTGACATAGCAATTAAAAACACTTTAGGGAGTGGCCATTTTCCTGATGTAACTCATTAATTCAACAAATATCTATTGAGCAGCTACTATGTACCAGATACTGTACTAGGCATTGCAGAGTCAACAGTGCACAAGAGATGTGGTCACTGTCTTTACAAGGATTGTGTGGGAGACACCGACAGCAGCAAATCAAGGGTCAACATCACACAGAGGGAGATGAATGCAGTGAAGGAAATTTACATGGCACTATAAGCACATGTGGAAGAGGCTCAAGCTACATCTGATGGGTGAAAGAAGGCTTCCAAGAGGAAGTTGTGTTTAAGCCAGTATCTGAGGGGTGCACAGGCATATCTGACAAATGCAGATGCAGGAAAGGGCAGACAGCATTCCAGGCAGAACAAAAACAGTGCACACCACAGACCTTTGGTGGGCAGGAGCATGAGACTATGGAAAGAAGGCCTGGTAGGTGGCCTGTGTAAGTGGACTTAGCAGGAATGAGTTGCAAGGCACCCGGTGAGTCTCAGAGAGGGCAGCAGGGACCAGATCACATGGGGATCAGATTTTACTCTTTATTTCCACCTAAAGATTTCAGACTCTACCCTGAGTGTAATGGGGCAAAAAGCAGCAAAAAGTCAAAGAGCAAACTGGAACAATGGAATTGTTTCCCAGGGCCCACAACTACTGGCTCATCAACAGAGGGTCCAGAAGGCCACATTCCCCCTGTGGTGCACTCTCCTGCCCCTGACCAAAAGTCTCTGGCAGATCCCGGTCAGTCACAACTGTGGCTAACATCAGCTACAATGATACAGCAAAGTGTCTGCTCAGCCCTTGGGGTTCCTGGACTTCATATTTTTCTCAGAAAGTGCGGACCATGGCCATTCATTCAAAAGAAATAAAAACAAAGGAAATCGAAACAGCTAAGTGTCTGACATAAATCATAAGCTCCTAAGAAGCCAAACAGGTCACTAAGCCACCTCAAGACACATTCTTCCATGTATTTCATGTGCTATTTTCGACTCATGAGATTTCAAAAAACACGCTCAGAACCAGAGTCTCCCAAGCAGCAGAACAGGTGCTCACCATATGTGCATACGTGTGAGTGTGGAGGAATGGCAGGCAGGGAGACACCTGCTCTAAGTGTGAGGCAGGAATACTGCACAGTCACTCCTCTCCTCAGTCTGCTTTGCATAAAAATCCAGATCCTTTCTCAACATACAGCAAGTCCAGTTGACTGTCATTACTATTCAGTTTTCCTTAGTTTTGAAGGAGACTTCAAAAATCTAGAGATCTGTTTAATTTTTGGAGTTAGGCAGTAAGGTCAGGATTTTAGGTTTAAAGTCCAAGTGGACCTTACCACCCTCTGCGTATTCTATCTTTTCCAAGTACCTTCAATCAACTCTAAGAACCAAAGGCACTCACTTATTGTCTATGAGGAAACCCCTCCCTAAACAGCACCCCTGACAGGTCTCCATTCCTCAAGGGATGAACAACAGAAAATCAGTCTCACTCTTCTAAGTTCTAAAGGACAATAAAGACGGCGACAGAATAGGCTTCACTGTTACAAAAATGCAATGGACTGAAAGTTTAGATAACCCCAAATTCCTACACTGAAATCCTGACCCCAAAGTTGATGGTATCTGGAGTGGGACCTTTAAAGCCGATTAGGTCATGAGGGCTCTGGCCTCATGCATATGATTTGTGCTCTTAAAAAAGAGGCCCAAGAGGTCCTTCACCTCTCCCACCACATGCAGCAGTCATAACAAAAAGACAGAAATAAAAAAGCTGTCTATGAGCCAGGAAATGGGCCCTCTCCAGATACTGAATCTGCTGGCACCTTAATCTTGGAATTTCCAGCCTCTAGAACTGTGAGAAATATATTTCTGTTGTTTATAAGCCATTTAATCTATGGTATTTTATTATAGCAGCCTGAATAGACTAAGACAACAGACAGACATGAGAACAAAAGACAATTTTAGCTATACGGGCAAATCAATGTATTTTGAGGCACAAACTATCAAAGCCAAAAGATCATGCCATTTATCAAAGGATTATTTTTGATTCTACAAAGAAACCCCAAATGTGGAACTAGACACTAGTGGCTGAGATACAGAGGCCTGAAGGTCTTAACTAATTTCCCTTTACACATAATCATCAAAATACTGCCAATCAGTTGCAAGGGAACAGAAAAAAGGGCTAAGGAAATGTTCATAGCAGCTTTATTCATAATCGTACAAACTGAAAACAGCTCAAATGTCATTCAACAGGTGTATGGATGTGGTACATCCATGTGGAATATTACTCAGCTATAAGACAAAACAAACTAGACACACACACACAACAACCTGGATGAATTTCAAAGTAACGACGCTAAGTGAAAAACTCCAATCTCACAAAGTTATACACTATGTAATTTCATGTATATAACATCAAATAACAAAATTATAGAGATAGGAAGCAAATTAATGGCTGCCAGGGAAGAGGGAAAGAATGAGAGATGCAGCTGTGGTTGTGAAAGAATATGAAGGATCCGTGTGATAGTACTATTCTGCATCTCGACTATGGTGGTGGTCACATCTGCATGTGTGATAAGGCTGCATGAAAACCGAAAGTGCATACACACACATACACACAGAAAGGGGAATACATATAAAACCGGTCAAATCTGAGTCAGGTTGGTGGATTGTTCCAATGTCAATCTCCTGGTTGAGGTGATACATTTTAATTATATAAGATATTACCCATGGGGGAAACCAGATGAAGCTTATATGGGATCTTTCTGTATTATTTCTTACAGCTGCATAGAAATCTACAGTTCTCAACGAACAGGTTTTTAAAAAACTCTTACGATTAATGTGCAAAAGACAATCCGGAATTAGATGCTAAATTCCACAAGAACTGGGATGATCACTTTTCACTTACTATTATAATGCTAACATGTAGCAGAATGCCTTACACATAGGCAAATTATTTATGGAATGAATGCAAGAATCTTGAAGATACTCTGTAACAGCAGAAAAATGTAAATGACTTACATATTCTAACATACAGGAATAGTTAGTCTACTGTAATACTAACTACTCATGAAATATTATTCAGCAATTAAAACTAATGTCTATAAAAACAGCATCCATACACTGTGTCATATAAAGATATATAGCTACTTACATTGTGATTATAACTAAGAACATAAACATTAATAAACATTAATATTACTAGAAAGTAAATAAAACAATAGCAATTACATTAGGGGACTGGTGTAACAGATGTCCTTGCCCCCCTTTTTCCTAAAATATTATTTTTGTTATTCTAAAATATTAGTAATACAACTGGGGGCAAGAATGAGAACTGTGCTTAGATCTTTTCTTTCTAAATATTCTTCACTTTTAATTTTTATTATGAAGTATGATACACCAAAAGAAAAATATATGCGTAGGTTATAAAGGATATTAATAATAAAACTCTCCAGATTTATCCAATTTGAGAACTTGGATATTATAAGACCACCTTTAACTTAAGCAATTCCACTTAAAATGACTAACAGCTACCCATAAGGCAATAAAGAAATCTCATTCCATGGAGGCCTAAATAGTAGTTGTAAAGTAGAACTTCCAAATCTGACCTGCGTGAGCCTCGGAAACAGGAGTCGGAGCTGCTGATCCCTCAAAGTCCCTGGCTGCCTGCCTTTGGCCACAGAAGGCCGTTTCTGTTTACCCTCAGGTACCCTACAAACATCATCAGCCCATCAGCTGTGTGCCACGGGAGGCTGGGAAGCACTTGCTGTACAGAAAACAAGCGAGGAGGAGAAGTGCTGAAGCAGAACTGGTGAACCCATGGTGCCTGTTAAATTGGCAAACCCTGAAACACTCAACAAGAACCCTGGCTCCAGAAATATTATTCAGCAATGAAAACATTATTCAACCACACAGGTCGTAAAACTCCCATGGCCACTGACCTCGTGTGATGACAGAGGCTCCCCATTCAGTCCAAAAGTGTAGGTTAAAAATAAATTAAATGCCATCTAGAAGTCCACGGCTAAATTTTTTAATTCAGTGGTCTGAAAATCATAACCACCTTTTCCCAAATGCACAGTTCAACATTTGAAGCGCAAATGTTTTGACTTCATCAGAAAAATCTATGGATGGTGTTACCAATACCTTCTCTTTAGAAAAAAATCTTTAAATGAGAGGACAGTTCAAAGCAGAATGCAAATCTAGGCAGGTCTGTGTGACAAAACATACAAGGATGCCCTAAAGACTGCTGAATTTCCACAACAACACCCTAGTATGTTTGTCCGATACATTTTAGACTTCCAGACGCAGCTTTATTTAATCTGACAGGTTAATCTCACTCATCTCAGAACCAACAAACATGATTAGCAAGCATCACCAGCAGCTATGATCCGGTACGCCA